GGTTAGCCACGCACGCTCCATTGATCTATGATAAACATCGAGCCACCCTTCGCCACCAATGTCAATCCCAAATTAGTGTGCCGGTAAGCCACGCACGCTCCACTAACGTTTGACAAGGGTACAAAGTGTAATTCCATGTAATAGGATCAATTTTCACATTTTACCCTAAAGTAACTAAGATTGGGAATTTGTAAAAAGACATTGTAGTTACTTTGCAATATTCATTATACTTATAATGAGGAATTAAATGCCCTATCCTATCCGTTCGGCTAACGACCCTCCACCAATCAAGGAAGCGGTAGGTGTGAGTGTACACCCATTAAGCATCATTTTATAGGCAGCAACCTTATACCCCCCTTATAGACTGACTTCGTGAATGAGGCCTACTAGCGATAAGACTAGCTTATTCTTATACACACACACACACACACACATATATATATATATATATATATATATATATATATATATATATATATATAATATATAGATATATATATATATATATATAAGCTTGTAATAAATAAAGTATAAGATTGAATTTTTAAACTTGTAAAATTCTAAGGGTTGAAATTTAAAATTTTCAAAATTAAACTTTTAATCAAAAAAGAAATTAAATTTCAAAACTTGAGGGCAAGTTTTTGAACTTTTCAAAACACAAGGGATCAAATAACAAATAATATAAATTAAATAATTAATTTTATGATTATCTATATTTGACCTAATCCAATTTTATTCACAAGATAATTATCAAATAATTTAAACAATCAATATTTATCATATAAAGGAACAATTATTTAAAAGATTTGATATTATCTTTTGTTTTGGTAAGGATAATCATTTAAATACAAATAAAATTCGGATTTTATCATTAAAAGACGATTTTGGCATTTATCCTTAAGCAAAACAGCAAGAAATCCCGAGATATCCTCTGTCTGACTCCCAGACTCGCCGAGTCACTACCTGAACTCGTCGGGGTTGGACAAACTCGCCGAGTCCAGATACTGACTCGCCGAGTTGGGTCGGGCAGAGGCCAGAAAAACGATTTTCAGCAAAAACTCGACAATTACATCACGTACAACAGAAACCAATCAAGGCTCTGATACCACTGATGGGTTTTATACATAAGAACTTTCCTATGTGCTCATGCAAACCCTAAAGTTTGGATCTAGGTTTCTCTATTGAACATGCAATTGAATCCAAGACTTACAAACCCTAATCTAGCATACATGTTTTAATCATATTAAATACTACCAGATCTGAAAGTTTACCTCTTGGAAAACCTCTTGAATCTTCTTCTTCTTGAGCTTAGAGTCACAAGTGCAACTCCTCTAATGGCTTACAAACACCACAAGCAAGAAGGCAATTATGAGAGAGGAGAGAGAATGCTAAAATTGGCCCTAGGGTTTCTCTTGGAAGCAAGTGGCCGAAAATTGCAAGCAATGGTCTTTATTTATACTGTAGGCTGCTAGGGTTTCAGTCTAAACCCTAATGGACAGCTTGGTCACCAAGCAGCCCAAGGAAACTTCTGGAATAAGGCCTTGGACGAAAATATGATGATCCTTCATCATAATTTCGTTCCCCCTTAGTCCATTAGGTTTTCCAGCCCAAAACTCAACTATCACACATTTGACAGTTTAAGCCCCTTTATTTAATTAATCTCTTTCAGTCACCAAATTAATTCCTAATTAATTTATGACTAATACTAATTAAATAAATATGATTTCTCCTTTAATATATTATTCTTATAATATATTAATAAACCATAATATCCTCTCTCTCTCTCTCTCCTTAAATTACCTTGTCTAGTTGCTTTGGTGAAGGCAACCCAAAAGGACCATGCTCAACCGGGTCAAGTACATACCAAATATAGTTACGGGCTTAGACACTAATCCAACAGTAACTACGTATTCATGCGATGATACTCCAACCCTTACTTGGCGCGTATTGAGGGGGTAATCCCCAAATCATTATTGATTATGTGATGTAGGCAATGATCCTCAGGAAAAGTCCTTAGGAACGAACATATAAGGAAATGTGATGTAAAGAGATGAGAGGTAAATACGATATAGGAGATGACCCTTAAGATAATTCTTTAGGGAATATTAAATGAAGAAAATGGGGATGGGCAATCGGGTTAATTGTTTGACATGTATTATGTGAAGAAACAAATTAACTATATTATTGTGGGTTGAAAACCCTATGTACTCACCAGGTTTCCCAACCTGACCCACTCAATCTTATTTGTATCACAGGTGTCGATATGAAGCTACTTTACACTGAAAGATTAAAGGGATGTAGATCACTAGTGTAAATAAATGTAAGTTATGTTTATGCTTATGTTTCTGTATTGACGATGACATCCCAAATGTTTTAAAATGAATAAATACATTTCTTAGGAAATGCTTTGATAACGTATTTATCATGTTTTTCTGGGAACAAATTCCGCAACATTTTTATTAAAAGAAGTACTCTGATTTCTATAAAGCATAAACAAAATCGGTCTTTTCTGACCGTGAAAATGAGGATGTCACAAATACCTTCCTAACACCTATCAGTACGATATATATTGTTATATGTCAACAAACGATCTATATAACAATATATGTCTATTAACTTAAAAAATTATTACTCCATTGTAATTTTCATTTGTAAATTTCTTTTGATGAAGTATATTATTAGTAAATTGTTGAATCTTATATTACCTAGCAAATCTTTTTTTTATAACTTAAACTAGATGAAATATTAAAGAATAAATAAAAACTATGAGGGTTAAAATATTTGAGAACTTTTTATTTTAAATTAACTAATCATTCACGTGGCGGGTTATATGTCTTGTGAAGTGAAACAAAATACAAAATTAATAGTATTACAAACACCGGGGCGTGAAAAAACGGTTCCTCATTTTGAGTCCTTGGATCTCCAACTTTGCATCACAACCACATAAACTCTCTTTTTACATATATATCACGGCGGTTTTCATTCCGATTTTCCTTCTTCCCCACGATCTCCTTCTTCTTCACGATTTGAAGATCGCAGCCCTCACCCACGACACCCTCTATTTTCGTTTCAAATCCTCCCCCACCTTCTGCACAATCGTCGGTTCTCTCATCCAGAGTCATTCAATCAATTTCTCAACCTCCTTCCCTCTTCTCTATTCGTGCATTCTTCTCCGACTTCATTACCCCACAAACTCCCTTTATTTCTCTGATTGCATGTGGATGTTGGGTTATAAGAAAGTCCTCTCAACTAACTTCATCTGACTTCAAACTCCATCCTACAACGTTAGCATCTCATTCGTCCGTTGGCCAATGTTTTTTTAATTTAATACAAGCCTAAGGAACCAAATAAGAAATGACTTAAAATCTTCCTTTTCTCAGTTTTTCAGTTTTCAAAAGTCTGTCAAGTCACAAGGAATCCCAAACAAGAGTCAAGAAACAATGTCCTTGAGTCCATGAAATCTATTAGTTATTATATTCTCACAAACAAGACTGAGATTTTTCCTTCTTTATTTACTCGGATTTCAACTATATCTTTGTATGCTCCCATATTCTTCCTTTTCAAAGGCTTTAAGAATTCAAGTACATTAATGATATTAAACAACAATTATTAGATTACAGGTATTATTTGTGAATTTATTTAGTGGGTTAATAATGACTTATCAAACATCAAATAAGCATTTCTATTTTACTATTAATGTTTTGGAAATGTCTGATTACAACATTTGACTAAAAAAAACTACGTAATAATATAAATGTCATCCAAAAAAATTACACGTTAATATAATGTTTAGAACATGTGGTTTTTATTATTCAGGTAGTTAAACAACCAAACATTAACCTATAAGGGATCATGTTTGATGCTACAAAATAAAGTACAATAGATCCTTTGTTTTTTTATCAATCAACCCCCACTAATGTATTGTCATTAAATAATAATAATAATAATAATAATAATAATAATAATAATAATAATAATAATAGTAATGTACTTAAATGTAGGATGCTATTATAAATAAATCAATAAATGTATGTTGTTCCCGATGCATTGTGTACAAAATAAAACAACTTTATTATAACTATAATCGGTTAGATTTATCATAGTATAATGACAACAAATGAAAGTAGGATGCTATAAAAAAAAGTAAAATCAATATATTTTTTACATCTGTCAACCCGGCTACGGAACGGGTATAACACTAGTTAAACCCGATTCATGCGAATTCTTACATTCAAGAATTTTGATTTGTCCCCCGATCTTCTTTCCTTTTACAAGATCCATCCCTCGTTTTCGAATTAGACTCACTGGAATGGATGATACTTTTCTTTTAGAAATATAAAACAGAAAATGAAACCTATATATGTATTTATTTTCTCGTTTTCGAACTATTCTCCACACATTGCATCATAAAATAGACAATTGGAGTCACGCAATAGAATATCATCGGCCCAACTGGAATGGACCAAACAGTGTTGGGCTTCTCGGTTTCATGCACTCCAATTTACTTTCTCAGCAAACCAGATAGCCTCATAGCCATAGCCACAACAGCATCTAACAACCCATCAGTGGGGTTGGCCCAATCAGTATAATCAGCCCACTTCAACATAGGCTATTTTTATTTTATTTTAAATTAAATATGCTGACCTACGATATTTTTTGTTGTGAAAAAAGAAAGATAAACAAAAGATGGCAATAGCTAGGATGTAAGCTTGTTATAGGTAACAATGTTTAATCTTGAGCTTTTGACCCTTGAAGCATAAACTGGAATGTTTTTTTTTCTTCTAAAATTGTTCTTGAAATTGTCGGCTTTTTTTTTTCCGGACCTCGGTTGGTTGAGAACGGTTTAGACTGGTCTCGGTGCCATGGTACATGTTAAAATGTAACATCAACTTATTCAAATTGTTCTTCTCCTCGTTCTTTTGTATTTATCTCGTTAAAAACAAACAAAATATGGCATTCCATACAACTATGAAATGTGAAAACACAAATACGAAGCAATGGGAAATAAAAAGTACGTATATTTGATCCCTTTAAGATCTATCTGATCTTTAGTCTCTTTAGAATGTAGTTTAATTCAATGTACATTTTACCTTTCTATAATCCGTCATCTCAACATGTACACTAAACCCCTAATGTATACATATAACACGTACACGTATGTATCTCTATCATCTCCAATACTCCAAATCCCAAAACCAGTCCTCCATCAAACATAATAAATCATACCAACTTCTAACAACGAAGTATGAGGCACATTCAGAACAACATCAGTTCCCCTACAATTCCTGCTCAAGAATGAATAAACAACATCAATAGCAAACTTCGCGAAAATCGATGAAGATTTCTTAGCCTTCGCATATGAATGCCCAAGTATATATGCAATCCCGGATTCCCGAGCTTTAAGTATCTGAATCGATTCATCTTTAAGAGCTGAATGAGTCTCTAAACACCCCACAAACGACTCCTCAATCTCCTTCAACGAATTCACCATTTTCGTTTCATAATCCTGGAGCTTAAATGCGGGCCCACCGGGGACACTGACATCTACATCGACATCGAAATTTTCACTGTCTGTGTCTCCGTCTTTTCCTTCCGTTTCAACATACTCAACAAGAGCCGAAACAACACGGTTTTCAAAATTGTAATTCTCATGTGGAACGTCTTTGTAACCGTATCTAACAATGCATCTAAACATATGATACTCGCGGGGCCCGACACGGCCCACGAGTATCCGCTCCTCGGCCCGAACATACGGGACTTGAACCGATTTCACACAAACGAATACCAAAACTTGGTGGAATGCAGGCAAGTTGGTGACAAAATGCCCAAAAATTGCGGGGATTCCTGTTATTAAATTCGTGTAAACGAGCCCAATTCCCGGGACCCGCACCATCCCGAGGCTCGGGCCCAATGAGAGAATCCGGTTCATTGAGACTTTGTTTTCTAAATCGAATTCGTGTTTTTTTAATTTCCCATAATTCCATACGAACATGATGGACATGAAGGTTAGTGAGAGGAGGAGTGGGATCCATCCACCTTCTGGAACCTTGAAAAAGGCGGCTGAGAGGTAAAAGAGTTCGATCGATCCGAAGAGTACAAGAAATAAAGCAGCGGTTACAATCTGTTGCTTCCACACGATTATCATCACCATCGTCATCAAACAAGTTGTCACGAACATCACAGTGGTCACCGCTAGCCCTAACAGAATCAAAACCAGAAAGTCAATGAATTGATCAATTTTGACTTTTGAGTTAAAAAGTTAATGAATTGAAAAGGATGAATGATATGATACCATAAGCATGGCCAATCATGTTCGTGTCTCGTAATCCGATCGTTACAGCTAAACACAAGCTCAATAACATCCAATTTACCTCCGGGATGTACACCTGTCCGTATATTTTTCTTGATGTATGAACGATTTTCACGTGGGGAAAACAATTCACGGCACAACACTGACTTATAATCGAGAACGTGGCTGAAATCGCCGCCTGACTTCCGACCACCGCTGCAAATGTCGCCACTATGAACACCGGCCAAAACACAGCTTCTGTAAACAAACAAATAAAACGATGAAATCATGAAATTGTAAACGGTTTATAAGTTATTTTGGTTTAAATTCTTACCAGGTATTGCTTTATAAAAGCTTCTCTGAATATCTTCATGATGCCTTGACAAAAACGCAGCCTCACCCAAATACGCAAGAACCAAGCAAGGATACACAAGAAACGTGAATGCAATCTGAAATATGAAAATTCACGCGCTTTAAAATCATGAAGTTAATAATGAATAATGTTTGATATTTTTGGATGATTACCTTAACGGATAAGGTTGAAAAATGGCCTAAATCAGCAAACATGGTTTCAACGCCTGTGATTGAGAGAACAACTCCTCCTAACGATAGCCAACCTTCACGACGAGTCCTTTTTAGTAATTTCACCATGTAAACAGGCGAAAGAGCGTGAAATATTTGTGGGTTCCATTGAATTATGTTATATATTCCGATTCCAGCAATCGATAGCAGCCAAGCTGTTACAATGGGAGCAAATAAGAAGGCAACTCGGTGTGTTCCGTGATGTTGAATCGAGAAAAGTCCAACTAAAAGAATACACGAGATCCCAACCACGTAATCTGACAAGAAAAAGTAAAGATTGGTGAAGAACACAAGCAAGAATGAGAATATATCAATTTATGATCTGCATAAGCTTGACTTACTTTCATGAAGACCTGCAACTTTAATTCTAACTCCAGATACCGCTGAGAGAACTGAAAAGGAAGACAAATGAGAATATTAGAACGAATTTCAAGCTAAAATGCAGAATCTTGATATGAATCATTTACCCGATATAGCAGGAGTGAAAACCCCATCACCGATTGTCATACAGGTTCCAAGAAGAACAAAAATCAACAACCCTTTTCTGAACTTTCTGTGTTTTTCAAAGAACGACTTCAATTCAAAGCTTTGCCAGGTTTCTGCTGTTTTTGCGACACCATATGCCGATAGTTTCTCATCGGTTTCTTGTTGATTTGGAAGCATACTAAGTTTTGCATGCCGACAGAGTAACGAATACAACGCAAAAGTACCACCTGTGACACCAATTAAGCAAATGTTCAAATTCATAGAACGTTTTCTGTATTTTATAAATGGAATTTATATTTATAAACCATTTTCCATACCTTCGCCATTGTCGTCAGCTGACATGACAATGAAGACGTATTTAAGGAGGGCGATTAGTGTAAAAGTCCAGAAGATGAAGGAAAGAACACCGTAGATTTCTTCATCGTCTTCATGAAGACTAAGCTTCCCTGAGAAGGTGGTTTTATATACGTAGAGAGGGGAGGTGCTTAGATCACCATATACGACTCCAAGACTCTGATAAGCCAAACTCAAAACCGCTGAACATGATGCCTTGTTCAATTTCTGGTTCGATTAAATCATACCCATTAGTTGTTTTGATGGTTTAAGTGTCTAGAATATGCCTAATTAATGGAAAATTTTCAACGGTTACAAGCCATTCTTGAATCTTGATAACTTATTTAGAGAAAAAAAGTAGGGTAAAAAAAGTCTCACCCTTGAAAAGAAGATAAGACTGACACAGAATAACAGAGAGGGAAATTGGTAGGAAGTAGGTTTAATTGCAGAAAATACGTGATTTTGAAGGGCATATGAGAAAAAATACAAAATAAAACTAGTTTTAAAAGGAATCCTTTTGGGTATTGTGTAATAGCAAAATCTAATCAACACCAATTACAATTCACACTCAAAAACATCCAAACGAGCCTGATACGTACAACATTTACACATTTGTACGCCGTCATTGAATCTTGATAATTCCTTACAAGAAGAAGGTTCGAAATAAATCATCCATGAAGATAAACATCTCAAAAGTTAACCAAATTGACACATAATCATGTAAACGAGTGGTTTTGAAAGCAATATTGATGAGAAAAAACCCTGGTTTTAGGAATTCCCTTGGTGCATTGTGCAATGGCCAAAATTAATCAACAACCATTGCGACTCACACTAAAAAAACATCGAAAATACGTGTAATGGATGCAAACTTTTCCCCATGTGAAAGCATTCTTGGATCGTTTCAAACAAATTAATCAACAACCATTGCGACTCACCCACGAAGTAAAACATCTCAAAAGTCTCGAGAAAAATTGACACAGATTCATATAAATTGGGAATTTCAACTTATAGTAGGAAAAAGTTCCTAAAATTTGGAACACCTTGAATACATTGTCTAAGAGTCAAAGATAACCCATACCCATTGCAATCAAACACGAAAAACATCAATAAACCTAACATAAACAGTATTTCCCCACTTTTACAAACCATTATTGAATCTTGATAACTCATTAACTCCTACCCATCACGAAATACGTCTCAAAAGCAAAAACAACCGACACAAAATCACAGAGATGATACAAGTGATGAGCTTGTTTTTTTGCAAGAAGGCAGAAAAGAAGAAGAAGAAGAAGAAGAAGAAGAAGAAGAAGAAGAAGAAGAAGAAGATACCTGGTTTTGAAGGCCATGTTCTATGGACTCAAGAGAAGTTCTTGGATGAAACATGGGTGTAAGTAAGGTAATGGAGTTTATGAAAATGGGAAGAAAGCAGGAAGAAAAGAGGTTGAAATGAGTAAAAGAGTGAGTGTGAAGGACGTTAAGAGGAATGTAGGATGTGGGCACAAGAGTGAGGAAAGGAAAGGAAAGAAAAGGAAAGTAGTCAACAGGCATGTGTCATGCTCTCTTAACAATCTTTTTTCACACCCCCGTCTTTCTCTCTCGTTTTCTCCGCCATTTTACCCCCAAATTTCTTGGATGAAAAAAATGCACATGAACTTAGCACTTTCTTAATCAATATATAATATATTAGGTAGTAAAAGAAATTTAAATATATGTAAATAAGATTAAATCAAACTGTTCACTCAATGTAGAAGAAGGTAAGTAGACATACACAATATTTTTAGTAGCAAAAACAACTTTAGAGTAAAAAAAAATTGATTTTTTATTATTTCATAATCTTGAAACACGAAAGGGACATTGGTTCAAAAATACTCTTTTGACCCTATTAAGAAACCATAATAAACTAATGATTTGCGAAAAGTCATGTTTAGAATCTTTCTTTTATATGATTTAACATTTGGCTAAAATGCATATAATTTATTGATGTAATATTACTAAAAGTATCTTAAAAAGTAAAGAAAATGTATAACTTTTTAAATCGATTTGATACGGTAAAGAATTACATGTGATACTGAGATATTTCTGTATATATGGACAATTATGGAATTAAGATTTAAGCACAAGATGTGATAGTGGCCTACTTCAGTCGTACCTACTAATTTATCATGTGAAGTTAATGAGATATGAATTTGGGGCCAATAGAATCATTTGTACTTTATAAGCTATGACGTTATAATAATAGCTACTAGCTAGTATTCATTTGTGGTTGAAAAACAATGTATTTAAATCGATTTGAAATGTGATCAATGTTTAAAATGATTGGTTTGATCTTAATTTAAAAAATTATTTATTTAATTTTCATTAAAAAAAAATCTGCTATTGTAACTTCAGAACAATTATTTTAGTTGTTAAAATTTGATTTCATATTATCATAGCGTATCTTAATAAAATAGGATAATGTTATAATATAACAACTTATTACATAAATATTCTGTTTTATGTGACCATTGAAGTTGAAAACGTATCCCACTCTTGTCAATTTTGGAGTTTGTTTAGCACAAGTAAATTTGACTAGTTATCATATGTTTTTTTTTAGAACGGGACTAGTTATCATATGTTTAACAATGCTTATTTTAATTTGACTAGGTAGTTTAAAATAATGAAATAATTAATTCGACTCTTGTCAATTTTGGAGTTTGTTTAGCACAAGTAAATTTGACTAGGTAATTTAAAGTAACGAAATAACAAAATGCTTTTCGTTTTATTTTTATTTATATCATCGTCTTTTTCATACATAACTAGTTATTTTATAATCAAAATTTGTTGCATCAAGTCACTTTTTAGTTTTTAGTGATAAAATCACCATGATCTTTTTATAAAGTCTACGTGCAATCATTGTCAATTTTATTAGATAGTTATGAACTTTTTAGATTAAAAATAATGGTCATGGTTTAAAACAAAACCAGTCGGTTTTATCAGTTGAAACAATATCCGATCATGTTATAATTTTTAAAGACAAAATTGCAAAAATTGTCTCTGTGTTTGTCAAAATTATATGATTTTGGTACAAAAATGTTTGATGGTGTATCAGTTGTCTAATTTTGGATAATTTTAGTGATTTTGGTTCCTATCAACTTAAAAATACTATTATGCCCCCTTTTATATATATATATATATATATATATATATATATATATATATATATATATATATATATAGAGAGAGAGAGAGAGAGAGAGTTTCAAATGTTTCTAACAACTATTGTGTGCATTTATGCACCAATGAGAATTCAGAAAATAATAAATATGATAAATAAATAAATAAGGGTGATTTAGTAATTTGATATATAAAGTCCATAAATATTTCATATAATCTAGTTACATTGACTTTTACCCTAATTTCTCCCATATTTATCTACGACCGTTCTTTTTCTCTCACCCCACTTGTGTTTGTGTGTGTACGAGAGCATGTTCTTCATCATCGACAAACGCTCTTACATCCCTCATCATCATCATCTCGTTTTGCGATCTCCATCTTCAACGCCTCCTTCCCAATCACCGACCACCATTGCCACCTAATACCATCGCCAACTACTACTTTCTTCCACGATAATCAGGTCCAGTTTTCAGAGTCATCTTCAAGCTATCAGGTACGATTCTCCCTTGGTTTGATTTCTCTTTTGTCTTTGTTTGAAATTAATTGGATTTTATTGATTGAAAAAAACTGTTAAATATCTACCAATTCATTTTTTCTTCTGATACTAAAAAAATCCAAATATCTACCAATTCATTTTTTGCACTCGAATTTTCTATCTACTAGTTGTGATTTCGGAAGTGAATCAGAATCAAGAATTAATTTTTTCTGTTATCAATGTTTTTGAATGTTGCTTGTACTGTTGTGTTTTTTGAATGTTGACAATAAAACATACCTTCCAAGTGTTTGATATAATGTCAAAAAGAGAAATTTTTGTGTAAAAGAGGCAAGTTTGATATGTTGGACTTATTGGGAAGATTATGTCAGAATATATTAAGGTAACATGTTTATACTTGTGTTGAAATATTCTGTTAGAAGTAAAATAGATAATATTTTGTTAGAATTCTTAAGGAATTGAAGTTTAAGCAACAAATAGAAATGAAATATTCTTTTAGAATTGATGTTAATATGTGTAGTTATGTTATTTTGGTGTTTTTATTTTATAAAAAAAAGATGTTATAAATTCTATTAGCATATAAGTTAAAACTTGTGTGTATTCTGTCAGAATTTATTTATATAAATGCATTCTGTCAAAATGTCTTTAAGAATGTTTTGTTAACAACAAGTATGTTTGTTTAACTGGTAATGCATTCTAGCAGAATTACGAGTAATGCATGTTATTAGAATAGTGATAGTATATTCTAGCAGAATAACTAGTAATGCATGTTATTAGAATAAATTACAATTGTTTAATGTCTACTACATTCTATCAGAATTTATAGTTTTTATTCTTTTTGAATGCTCTGAATTTTTTAATATTTGAAAGTTGATTATGTTTTTTTTGTGGATTTAGGTTTTGAACAGAATGTCATTGATGTGGAAAAGGAGAAAAAACATGGAGAACTAGAGTGTATTCTTGCAAAATGTATTATGCTAGAATGTATAAAATGTTTCTTAACAATAATATTCTTTCGGAATTGATTAGTGTTTTTGTTAGATTTTGATGTTTTTTTTTTCTTTTTTAACCATTTTTAGTTTTAATCTTTAAGAATAAATGTAATCCTTAAACCATTATTAGTCATAATTTTTTTAGAATGAATGTAATAATTGTTTATAGTCTTATTCTTTACGGATGAATGTAAATAGTGATTCTTAAAGAATAAAATCCGTATTCTTTAGAAAATGTTATTCATGATAATATTTCGTATAATTCTTTAAGCATGTTTAATATAAAAAGTATCTTAAATGAAACCATATTCTACAAGAATAAAACCACAAATATATTTACTAGTTTATTGTTGACTTTTTGTCATTCTGACAGAATAAAATCGGTTATTATTATTAAATATAATATTAAAATTTATTTAGAATTAATTTAAAAAATTCAGATTTTATAAAAATAAGGGAATTAATGATCCCTTAAAATCCGAAAATTTTCTTTTTAAAATAGGTTAATTGACCAAAATACCCTTTTGCTGAAATTTGTGTGATTATATGATACATGCTACCCCATTGTAATATCATAGACCCTCAGATCATGACTGTTGATTTTATTCATCCGGTGGTCCAGATCTGTGCATTCTGGCACACAATAGTTACTAAAAACAAAATAACCTAAGCCTATATATATATATATATATATATATATATATATATATATATATATGTGTGTGTGTGTGTGTGTGTATATACTATTAGGTTTTGTGCATAACATCATTCCTATGGTGTACATGCAACCCTAATTACTTTGGATCTAGGTTTTTCTAATTTGAACATACAACTATGAATACCAAAGCAATAAACCTATGACTAGCATACAAAAATTGAAAATCACATATGATTAGGGTTTAGATCTTACCTCTCTTGTTATGTAGCAATAACAAGTTCACCTTGAATATCCTTGACCTTTAAAAGCTTAGTGCCTCAAATGTTGCACCTCTAATGGAGTCACAAACACTCTATGCAAAGGACAACTTAGGAGAGAGGTGAAATCGACCAGGACAACTCCAAGAAGACATAAATCTGATTTCCTCATGTATAAGGGTCTATTTATAGTTGTGTGGGTTGCTAGGGTTTCAGGTGGAAACCCTAATTCTCTACTTAGGCCTTAAGCAATCCATGGAACCCTTCTAGAAGGCCCTTGGACGAAATCTTTATGGGCTTCCCATAGATTTCGTCCAATCCCTTCTATTAGGAATCCATAGCCCAACTTGCAACTATCTGATAATTACAATATCAGTCCCCTTTATTTAATCAGTCTCTTTTGAGCACTAAATTAATTCTAAATTAATTTCTGATCAATACTAATTAAATAATACGATTTCCAAATAATATATTAATCTTGTAATATATTAATAAAACCATTTTAAGTACTAATTTATTATTCATATAATAAATTCTACTCTCTCTCCTCTTGTCATCCTATCAAGTTGCATGAGTGAAGGCAACCCAAAAGGACTATGCTCATAATCAAATCAAGTACATACCAAAAATAGTTATGGGCTTAAACACCTAATCCAACAGTCTCCCACTTGGATAAGTCTAATAACTATTATTGCAAGTACGACTTCAGAATCTGATTAGCAATCGTAGCTTTCAAAAGCCGCTGTCGAACTCTATTCTTATCAGCAACACGTCCTTTAGATAAGGGATCATATATTCCTCCATTCTCAAGATATCGTATATACATGAGACATGGATTATAATCATTCTCTCTGTCTATGTTCTGTTTCCCGATTTCCGATTTATGACGACTGACTAATTGAACAAATCAAATCAGTCCAGGCTTGGCCAAGCGCT